ATTTGGTCTGGGCCCGAGGTGGGCTTAATAGCCGGCGACTACTGTATATACATGACTGTTGGGAGCCGCCCTAACAGACACGTGAGCAGGCAGCCATAGCGAGTCGCGCTCACGTCAGGCTATCGGTCCACCTACACGCAGCTCACGTGATGATGCCGCGCGCGTAGAACTCTGACAAGCCAGTCGGATGAGTCAGAAGCCAATCGAGTCGACACTCCTCCGAGGACACTACCTGATTGGTCTGATGGACATGGCTGTACACGTGTACATGTTATACTAAGTATACTAAAAGACATACACTTTTGCGCCCTTATTGTTGTTTTCTTCCTTGGCGTAAATAGACGGTGATACCTCTGCTTTTGGCAGCATTCATAACAATAATGGTCAGCAAAAAAGTCAATCCAAAAAATACCAGTCTGATCGCACGTTCAAACTCCTGGCGACGGAAAAGGATGACCGCCGTGAGGTATGCTGGTCGGGTGTTGGGCGTCACAAAAAGACGTGCACCTGGACAGGTCGCACTGGCATTAGAGATAGGCGGTTCCGCCAACTCAGTAGAGACGACGGAGACAGAATTAAAGGCAGAAAGTGCAACTCGAGCAGAAGCCTGAACCGAGGACCACAGCACTTCCGGATTGGATGATGGCGGCGGGGACGGCGTGGTGGAGGAGGATAAGTTGGTTGACTTGGAGAGCAACAGGCTCAGACAGTCGGTTTCAACGCAGGGTTGCGAACAGAAGGCCAGTTCCCGAACGAACTGAATAAGGTCAACAGTGTGGCAGCGGTTGGCCGAAAGACAGGTGAAGGGTAGTTCAGCCCTCTCCAATTCCTCCTTCGTCATCTTGGCTATCCTGTTAATAAATAAAGGATGAGAGAAAAAGGCATAAGAACACGAAAACTCGACCGACAGCGTCCCCCACCGCATCATGAGGCTGGCGTAGCCATTCTTTGTCTGCGAATCTGTTAATGGTGGGGCAGACGTACGTAGTACCTACTTCACTCTCTTATTTCGCAGACACGGCCTTTAGGCGGCAAGACGAAGTCAAGACGACAGGAAGTGGAGGGGAACAGAGCTGCTGACAAAAATTAAAGCCTTATACCCATGTTCAGTTTGAGCTTCAGTCGTCAGAAGGGCCGAATAAGCACGTCAATTGACAACCTTCCAATCCACGACCCTTAGGAAGTTGTGAGAGGTTCAAGCGCGTTAGGCTTACTGTACTGATGGTCTAGTAACCTCTACGGTCTGCCCCTCGTTGCGAGCCTTAGTATACTGACGACGCCGACGGTGGATTGCTCCACACATTCTTATCAGCACGACGATCCTGTCTCTCGGATATTTCTCCCCCATAAGCGAAGATATTTTTCTCCTTAAAATCCTCAAATCGCATTCAAACTTTTAAAGTATCCGAAAAATACCCAGAGTTTTTTCATCGGCTGCTCTCTATGTTCTTATTCCACCTACTGGCTCCTGTCATGTGGCATCGCCGACGAGCCGAGGTACGATTCCCGAAGTAATAATAACACATGTAGTTATACTACTCGTAATAGGTGAGTAGCCGTAAATGTTCACTCTTTTTGACGGCTGCTCGATTTTCGACTGTAATTACGTAAACGACCTCTTTTTTTGCATTTTGCTCTATATTTATGTATTTCTTAGCTACGGTATTACTAGTAAGGAACAAAAAGGCGCTGGCCTATGTTTTCCCTCAATAAAACTGAACTGAACTCACGCGAGAAGATCAAATCCGGTAGCCGAAACTTCAGCATCTAGAGCGATCATTTCGCTGAGACGGATGCCAGAACGTCGGGAGCAGAGAAGGCGCCAAATAGGCGGAGCCAGACGAAGGTGAAGGGAATGACCTGTCCGCACGCCAATTCCCATCAGACAGCCGAGGAAGACGAGCCAGGCGGGCGCCAGCACGACACAGTCTGGATTTATTATGAAGTTTGAGGACGGGGCAATCTCCTGGCTTCTACCAGACTCTGAGGACATAAAAAGGAGATAAATGGTGTCGCGCAAACAGACAGAGAGAACAGTTTCCTAGGAGAACACATGATAATTAAAATGGGAAATATAACCAATAGGAAAGAAGAAGTGCCGAGCACCCGCGAATCGCATACAATCGTAGGTAGACTCCATACCGATCTTTGGCGATTTACGTAAAACTAAGAAAGATAGTCCATTTCCACATTTTTAAACGCACAATATTTTCTAAGATAAAAAACAACCGCAACTTGCCAAAAAGCGGAACGAAAACAAAGCAAAACTAAGCTAACTAAAACTAAATAAACTAAAATCGAGTATTACTACTACGAAATAAGTAGAACGTTATGCGAAATAAGCGGTGGTAAGCCCGAACAGTGACTGCTACCCAAAAACAATTGCCTAATCGATAGTTCGCCCGTCGTGTTCGACGATGGCCAACTGGGCAAGCTAAAGCGAGCCAGCAAGCTAAAGCAGGCGTAGTGGCTTCCGCAGGGGAAAGAAGGGAAGGGAACAGTGAGAGCAGGCTTGCGAAGGAGCACCTACTCCCACACTCCGACCGTCCCCCACCTTAGCCCGGTGTCAAGACAAAGTCAAGAAGACCGGAGGTGGGA